AGTCGCCCCTCCTTGGCGCCTTCCTCTTGAGCCAGACGTCCTCACTCAGGGCAGCTTGAATCATCCAGCCCTGCCTTGGCTCAGTCTGACCGCTTGGCAGTTGAGCGGCGCTGTCTGAGTGACGCAAACATTCCAGGAGACGTGATTCTGACTATTCAAGCCTCCCACCGCCCTTCAATGGACCGGGTTTACTCAGCTACCTGGCGGGCCTTCTGCTCGTGGTGTGCTCGACACAAAGTGCTACCTCTTCAGGCTTCTATTGTGGATGTGTTGGTCTTCCTGCAGGACAGCTTCTCAGAGGGCCTTTCGCCTAATACCTTGCGGCGCCAGGTGGCGGCTATCTCCTCAGTACTTAATTGCAGTTCTCTCTCATCCTTGGCACAACATCCTCTGATCCGCCGCTTTCTCCGAGGTGCTTCTAACATGTTTCCTCCTGTGTTGCACCGCTGTCCTACTTGGGACTTGCCATTGGTGCTGAACTCGCTTATGGGTCCTCCTTATGAACTTTTGCAGATGGCGAGTCTCCGGTTGCTATCCTGCAAGGTCACCTTCTTGGTGGCCATAACCTCGGCCCACCGTATTTCAGAGATTGCCGCCTTGTCAACTCACACTGATCTTTGAGTGTTCCACACGGACCATGTGATTCTCCTACCTTTCTTCTGAAGGTCAACTCTGTGTTTCATTGTTCCCAAGAACTCATACTACCTAATTTCTGTCCCAGACCGTCTCACCCTCGTGAGCACTACTGGCACACTTTGGACGTCAGGCAGGCTCTGTGAATTTACCTAAAAAGGACTGCTGCGGTCCGTCGTTCGGAGTCGTTTTTGTGTCCTTCTTGCCCGTTTCCCTGGGTCTCCGAGTGACTTCATCTACGATCGGTCGTTGGATCCGGCAGACCATTGCTTCAGCTTATGACTTCCGTTCTCTTCCGCGACTGGCACATGCGACAGCGCATTCCACCCGCAGTGCATCTACGATGGCAGCCTGGTCTACTCAGGCTTCATTACTTGAAATCTGCCGGGCGGCTACATGGACTTCACCTGCTCCCTTTATTCGGCACTATAAACTTGATACATTTGCGTCAGCAGAAGCTGCTTTTGGTAGACAGGTGTTGCAACAGGTTGTTTATGGGGAGGATGTTTCGCAGCAGCCTAGTCCCACCCAGGTTTCAGGACAGTGAACTTGGGTATGTCCCATCCTGGCTGCTGTCTCCACTCTCAATGGAGAAGGGGCGTTGGTCCTACCTGATACGCACCTTCTCGTTGAGTGGAGACAGCAGCCAGACCCTCCCTTTGCTGTTTTGCCAGTCTGGTGGATTCTCTCTTTGCTTCTTCTGGACTTTGTTCCTCGTCTCCCACACGCCGAGTCTGTCTCCTCAGGTCTTCGCCAAAAGCGGGTCTACCCGGCAACAAGGGCAGGACTTAGCATTATTGACAGACTCAGTCCTTCATGCTGATTGGGCTGCTGCTACTCATCCTGGCTGCTGTCTCCACTCAACGAGAAGGTGCGTATCAGGTAGGACCAATGCCCCTTCTGAGATAAATCAGCCAGCTCCTTCAGAACTCTGGGATGTAATCCATCAGGTCCAGATGATTTATATTCATCAAAGTCAGACAGGTGTTCTCTTACCATTTTCTTCCTTATTTTAATTTTTATTTCTAGTCTGTCTTTTACAGTTATATTTTTGGTAGGTTGGGCTATAGTTTCTTTTTGTATGAGAATAAATAAGACAAATATCACCCAATAGTTTGACAGAAAAATCAGGCATTTAGTGAGATGAATTTAGTTTTAAATAGTTTAAAATCCTATGAGGAAAGAGAATGATTTCATGGTTGTAATGTTTAAAATAACAATTAATTATTTGTATTTCTATATTATTGCAGTTAATGAACTATTGATTATTGAAATGCCATACTCGGCAAATAAAAGTAAAATATGCAATAATAAACAAAATAACATTATATTGTATATCAATAAAAACAAACTGAATTAAATAGATGCCAAAGTTTTGTTTAATGAAGTTGAATAAAAATGGATTCTACATATAAGATATAAAAAAGAAAATATTAATGAAATATTTCAGAAGTAAGAAAATTTGCAGCAATAAACTTTTCACAATAAAGTGAGAAAATAGTCCATCTGAGTACAAAATTATGGGGAGCTGACTGTACATTAGATTTTTTTTAGTTCAGAAGTTGATTTGATGAAGAGCACAATTTTATCTCAGTTACTCATAATAATAACTAAGGAAAATGTTACTAGAATATGTGTACATTTGATGCAGTGGAACATCTGCCTGACAGCTGTTTCATATTTTAGTATGAAACTAGAGAGTGTGGGATTATTGTTTGTAGATGAGCATCAACTGGGTGGTCAACATGTCCAGCCGCCCACTATCTACCACAGAACACAAGGCCTGAAGTATAACACAGATGATGCTAATCAACTAGAATTCTTTGCAGCCTTAGAATGAGCATTTAAAACCACAGACCTTCCCATAGAGACCAAAGAAAGCATAAAATGAACTATCATACCACAAACCAGGTCTAGAACAAAACCAACTCAAAGCAGAGGACAGAGTAGCTGTTAAAAACTCAAAGAAGTACCAAACTATCACCAGCCTATCAGCAGACAAAGTTCTAACCACTGATTTCATGAACAGATCACAATTAAACAAAAAGTGAAAGAAGTATCAGAAGACAAAGAAACCTTCATCCCAGTGAACACCAATCTAATACAGAAACTCAACAAATCTCAGTTACTTTATCAAAAAAAAAGTAAAATCATCAAAGAAGACCAGTGGCAGATTAAAGTAGTGGATCCATCCTTCCATACTTCTATGGATGCCCCAAAACACATTAGCCAGACATACCTCTCTATTCAATTGTATCATTACCAGAAACCTCAACCTATAACATCACTAAAAAAATTGACAATAAAGTTTGGACATTCAGGGCAGCAAATATTCCATCCATTGACCACTGCAGTATCTCTAAGGAATAAAAGATGTGAAAATAGAAGATGAAATCATGGTCTCATTTGATGACACAGCACTTATATACAGAACAGAATTAGCCAAAAAAATCTATGACAGTACTACTACACAGAAAACCTGACCTAGCCAAATATACCAGGATTGAAATACCAAGTATCATGGATCTTAATAACCATTGCTTAACCACCCTTTTTTCAGTTTGATAGAGAAATATATCAACAAATCAAAGGAACACCCATGGGATTACTGCTTTCGGAACTAATATGTAACCATAATGTAACACCTATATCGTTCCCATGCATGCAACCCATTCTGGCACATAGATAAAACCTTTATCATAATAATAAAAAAAAAGGGATCAACTAGAGAACACACACAAAAACATCAATATATCCATTGGAATAAAATTCCCTATGGAAAAAGAAAACAAGAACACATTACCATTCCTGGATATCCTCTCCATCAGAGGCAATGATGGCAAATTAGAACATGTCAATCATAAAATTACCCACATCAACCAAGTGTTCTACTACCAAAGAAACAACCCAACCTCCCACAAGAGAAACTATGTAAGAATACTATTTAGGTGAGCACAAAACTTCAATAACTTTGAATATCAAAAAAAGAAAACAAATCATCTATATGACATTTTTCAACTAAATAATATCTATGCAACTTTTACAAAAAGTATCTGACCACTCAACCTACTATAGCACAACCAATCCTAACTGAAGAACCAAAAAGGAAACAAAAAGACCAAAACATCTCACCAGCACTCAACACCCGTATGAGCAGACATTAACATCAAGATTAATACTACGCCAACAATCAAAGATGAAATAATATCTCAAACAAGGAACTACCAATACAGATAAATGAGCTAAATGGTACACAACATCCTAAATAGGGAACCACCAAGACCAATCCCACCAACACCAACATTTGAAGCCACTAAAATATAAAATGAGAGCAAACCCCACTCCCTTCTTGCACTGATAGTTGCCTAATTTGGTAATGAAACATCTGCCAGAAAGCAACCAAGTTCAGAAAGCACCAAAGGTTCCACAATTCAATTCTGTGGAGAATATTTACAAATATTATCATCTATCCAAATAAGAGAGACTGCTGATACAGTATTTGATATGAAAAAGGAGTGCATATTCAGCGTCCATTGTATCATTATTTAATTTTATAGGGCTATGTAGTGATCCAAATCTGAAGAACAGATGAGCCTAATGTGTTCATGGAATCAGATCTTTAAAGAAATGGAAGCACATGCAATGTATATATCCAAGCAAGCTTGGAATTGCCTTTTCTGCTTCAAATCTGGATCATTTCCCAGCCTGAATACTTCTTGGTCTGTGGCAGTAATATTATTGAAGAGGCTCATCTTTTGCTTTTATGTATACAAAATGTACATCTGCCCATGTATATCTGGAACTAGTTAGTTGAATTATTTATAAAATCATTTACAATGTGGACATGGTCCAAACAAGAAAGTATTTCTGCATTGCACAAAAAATAGCTGAGTTTATTATTTTATTAAAACTCAGTTCCAGCCCTGTTTGGCATTCAATACAAGAATGCAAATCAGCTGTTCAGGGATGCCATGAACTGAGAAAACCCAGATATGCATGTGGCTATTTAATTTTAATCACATTAAATATGTGAGTGTGGGGAAAATGTATGATCTGCCCTGTTAGTTACCCACTTTCTTTAAACTTGCTAATTCAGTTTTATGTTACCAGTAAAAATTATTGAAATAACTAATTGTGAAATTTCCTTCCAGAATCCTCTATGGGGAGTCCTTAATTTATGACCATTTGTTCAGCAGTTGTTATGATATTGAACAAATGAACTTATGACCCTTTCCCAAAGTTCCAAGTATTGCAGTGCCTACACAGTCATTAGCAATATATGTAATAATGATTTTCTATATTATTGACTTTAAAATGTTTTTAAAATCATCCTCATTGCACTGTTTTTATTTATTATTATGTTTTAGGTTCTGCACAATAAACTTATGATGGAGATGGAGCATCCAACAGCAGGGAAGATTACTGTTCCAGGTTGGCATATTTTCTTAAGATTGATATTACACTCATCAAAATAAAACATTTTGCATGGGCTTCAATGAGATTCTGTGGCTGTGTTTGTACAATATATTAAACCATGAATCAATAAACTAATTGGTGATACTCTAGATTCATCAAGATTAAATTAGCATAATGAGTGAATGAAGCTGCTAGGTCTTTATCATATATGATTAAGCATATTCCATGAGTCCAATTTATATATGTAATTTTCAAAGCTAAAGATCTATCAAGCATTCAGATTTCAGAGACACCCGTGGACACAGTGCACACAATACTGAGTGGCACTTAAAACTGGATTAATCTCATATTCTACAAAAAATCAGTTCCCCATCTTCAACGTAGTTTACTTTAAAAGCAGTTAATCATGCCAATGTATTTTTGCTGACTAACATAGGGGAAAGTGTTGAATCCGATGACAGCCCATAAAACAGCCCTGAAGGAAAAAGAAGAACAACTACAACACTGTGTCTCCTAGTCCCAATTGCTTGACCTAGCTAGAAAAATACCATGATAGACTAGGATGTATGCTCCCCAATTCCAGTTCCACTATAGACCACCAAGAAGCATGATTGATACTATACTCAAGTTATAGACAGGTTGAAGTCTCCCAGTATCATATATCTGGGAAATTTCACTCCCGTCCCTATATATGATGGTGTGTTGTATTCTGGTGCAGAGGCAATGGAGATTGGGCTATAGGAAGCATCTGCTTCCTATAGCCCAATCTCACAAATAACTTCTCAGTACCTCTGCAAGCTGTAAGATCTTCTGAATGACAGAAGCCATCCATCTGGGATGACAGCTGGTACTACATTTGAAACCTAGGTGCCACAACTCCAAAAGGAGTACATATCCCTCAGGGCTCATTTAAATCTTGCTTATAATAGTCATCAAATTGTGTTAAGATCAGTTATCATTTACCTCATCCAAAGATTACTTTAAAAAGAATATAAATTAAGAAATGCAGACAGTAGGGTCGATGAGAGTTCCTATCTAGATTGTTCCTACTATTCAGAGCCCAGATCTTCTAAATGAGAAAGACTTCAGGTAAAGGGGCCTTCTGTATGCTTTGGTTATTCTGAATGACACATGAAGGTAACATGGACAATTTGGGCAGTTTGAAGGAGGAGAATGCTTTATCAGAAGGAAAATATTCAAAGTAGTTATATGATTTCTATAGCCTTTTTTTCATGTGAATGTATGACATTCTCTATTTCCTGTCTCTGATTTTTGGGAATATGAGGCAAGAGATCTTCAAACCCTACCTCTTGGTTTATGGAAAGTTCCAATAAATAAGGAAAAAATACTCTTTGCTTGAAAAAAACATTCATAAGCATAGGTTTGATGAAACATTTATTTTTCTTTTTTCTTTTTTTAAAAATGTTTCTGTTATACCATCTATGAATGGCAGTCCTCAGATCACGTATCCTACAGTAGTTCCTTTGAAGTTAATTGCTTACCCTGGAGTCAGTTGAACTAATCGGGAGGGGGGAAGCTATATATATTTGGACATCTGTGTTTGTTTTAGGTTTACCTTGAGGCTTACATAAATTGTGGCCTTGTGTGTTTGTATGAAATGTTAAAATATGGCTGAATGAGAAGGACACTATTTCCCCCTTCCATAGGAAGAAGGGAAATCTCTTGAAAATAGTAATTTTGTTTATATATTGTATCTGTGTAAGATGACTTAAAGAGATACAGAAAAATAATGTGTAATGCAGAGCAGAAGTGAGGAAACAATAAACTCTTATAGTGTCTTACCTTCTACTAGCTTTAGTTCGATAATCAAGTTACATTACTAGTTTAAGCAAGAAAGGAGAGGAAAGCAGGAAGGAAAAAGAAAGAAAAGAAGACAGTGCTAGGTTAACTACTGCTAAGAGGAATAGGTTCGTCCCAGAAAGATATATTGACAGTCAGAAGTTCTGCTTTAAATATTTTAAGGGAGGTGATGTATTATTCTTGTTCTTTAAATAGAATCTGATTAATCAGAAATATGTTCGTAATTTTCTAATATCCAAGTTAGATGGATGCAACATGTTATAACTGGCTGCATTTGAAGACAATGATAGCTTTAATTACTTCAGAAGAAAACCCCATTAATTCTGTGGAGCAAAAAAAGAGCCCTGCTGGATCAACCCCACAAGCCAATTGAACAATGCATTCTGTATTTCATGGTGCCAATCAGATGATCTCTTGCCACTGGGGTTAGAGTGGACCAACTTTAAAACAAAGAGTTCTGTCTATAGAAGGCTAATAATTGGATTTTGTAACTTTTTCCCATGGTGTATTTATTAACAGCAGTTTCCAATTTTTATTTTATTTTTTTAGTAATATTATTAGAAATTAGATTTAAAAAAATGTAATACAAATGAAAAGAAATAAAAAAAATAGAAAGTGAAGAAAAGGGGAAAAAATAGAAAGATAGAAAAGAATGTAGTAAAGAAAAGTATTTAAAGAAATAACTTCACCATTTATCACAACAAATATAAACAATTTTAGGAATTTACCACCTTCTGTTGAAATACAACAACTGGCTTTAGCATTCTCCCCACAGCAATATTGGAGAGGAAATATAGGAAAATTAGTAAACAATGTCACTGAGTGGCAGATATAGTAGAAATTACAGTTTTATTATTCTGCCAATTTTAGTGAGACTCTTAGTGCAGTTGATTTCCCATTTCCTTTCTATATTCCTGGGATATTCTGACTTATTTTACTTCGATTACTTGTTAGACCACAAGCACAATTCAGTATCCATAAATGTTGCTTGATTTTGTTACACTATGTGTAAACTCAGCTGTCTATGAGCTGTAATTGATAATGGTTATCTTACTGTAGTTTTTTTTTCTTTTGTTCTATGGCTGTCATAAATTTCTTCCTCTCCCCCTAACCCCTTTCTATAGCAGCAAATATTTAAGGCATTCTGGCTATAATTTAGGAAGTGGATATATAGCCATCAGGACAAGTAGGTCCTGACATCTAGTCCTGCTTGAATTTGCCCATTTCTCTTTTAAAATCAATCTAAATTGGTGGTTGTCATCAGATCTGATGAGAACAGTATGTGTAAGGAAGGGTTTTTTTTAATTGATTCTGAACATCTCTACAATAGAAAATCTCAGATTTTCACATTGTAGGAATGGGAGAAAATTGAACAGACTGTGGAATTTTACATTCTTCTCATGTCTTTTCTTACTCATCCTCACTTTAAGCAAAAAAGCCCAGACTTTATAATTGCTCTTTGTAGAGGAACACTTCAAATCCTGTCATCATTTTATTTCTCCTTTTGTCTCCTTTCAGTTTTTCAGTTTTTTTATGTGTGGTCATCAGAAATGTATGCAATATTCCAAGAATTATATATAAAATCATTAAGATTGGCAGTTTTATTTTTAATTCCAGATGATTCCAAGCACAGATTTCCCCTTTTTTATAGCATATTATGTTGACATTTTTGTTTAACTATACCCCAGAGCTTTTAGCTTTGATCCTATTAATATCTAAGCAACATTTGGGTTCTTAGAACAACATGTGTCACTTTGCATTTCCTTATATTGAACTATATTTGCAATCTCAGGGCCTATTTATTTTTGTCAACCTTGAAGTCTTTTTTTAAATTTATCTTTTATTGAGTCCCTATATTTTTTTATGCCAAAGTTTCTTTTTGCTTTCTTTGTTTGGAAAAGATTTTAAAGTTTTTAAACTTTTTAAAAAAGTTTTTAAAGAAAGACTTCTTGATTGGAGTAGCTTCTCTGACCTGGCTTATTAACTATTCAAGGGTCCTCTTGGTAGTACCTTTTCTGAGCTATACATTCCATCTAAGCTTTTATTACAAGTAATTCTCAACTTACAACTATTTGTTTAACAACCATTTGGAGTTCTGACAGCCTTGAAAAGAGTTGTAAAATATTGTGCTGCCCAACCTCCAATCATATGACTAATTTTAGGCCTCTGGCAACCAGCTCACATTTATGACTGTTTGCAACATGCTGTGATCATACCAGCTTTGCCAGTTTCCAGCATTTTTATCAGTTTGCAGGCGAAAACACTGAGAAAATGGTTTCATACTTATGATCTCATGATTCGTGTAACACTTAAGCAAATCCTTAAAAATGGTTGTAAGATTATGTTCAGTGACATGGTGGCTTGACTTACGACCATCACAACATACAGCCAATATTCTGTGTTCAGTTGTGGTCATAAGAACTACCTGTATCTTAATTTCATAAACATAAAGCATTTATCACTAGTTGTTCTATTTTGATCTTCTTTTCATCAGTCTTCATGGAGGGGGGGGGATTTGCTCTTTTGAAGTCAGGCATACAGAAATACAGCATTAATGCAAAATTAGGGAATGCAATTTATTTATTGTTTGAAACAATATGGCCTGTTCAAAACATATCTCACTAATGCTAATATTTCTTTGCTGGCTTCTATTGTGTTTACAGATAAAAATATTGATGGTGACTTGTAAAGCCTTAAACATTTTATACTGGGGATTTTGAAGGACAAGTTGCTTCCTATAGCTGTGTAAAGTCTTTTTCCAATCAACCTTGATTTATTTTATTTTATTTTATTTTTAATTTTTAAACTTTTATTAATTTAAGAAACCACATAATACATTTATAAATGCAAATAAAACAATTTACAACAAGCATCATTTTAATGACATCTACCTATAATATCTGAATTGTTACAATATCAATATCCTATATTCTTCAATATACAATATTTCTCTCACCTTATATAATGATATTATTTTATTGATATCTCGTGTCTCTTTATTAAATTTCATTTGATGTAAAAGTTTATTTTACTCTATTGATATCTTTTCTTTTATTTAATTTTTCTTTCTTTCTTCTCTTTTTTTTTCACTTCCCTCTAACCATTTATACCATTTTTGCCAGAACAGATAATATTCAGATTCTTCCTTTCCTTGGATCTCCTTGGTAAGTCTATCCATCTCAGTGCATTCCATA